ATTGACTGACCGACCGACTGACCAACCAACCCACTGACCGACCGACCGACCAACCGACTGATTGCTTGATTGATTGTCTGATTTATTAATGATGGATTGTTGATTGATCGGATGTGGCAAGTTTAAACCCCTCTCTCTTCCTGTATTCCCCTCCCCTGTTCCACCTTCTGGTTCAGAGATAAACAAAAATTATTCTTGACTAGTTTCTCAGTGATTGTGATAAATTTCACCAATCTTGTGACTTACCTTTAAGTTCTAAGACTTTCATTTGGTGGTGAGACTGTTAAGGCATACATGTGTCTCCCTATTTGATGAAGTTCTTAATTCTCATCACCTGTTTGCTTGATAATGTATCTGTATTATTGGCAATTAAGGAGAAATCAGGTATTGGTCATGAATAACCTGGAGGCTCAATTTTTTTCCTTTAGAAAAATATCCAGGTGACCCTCCTTCCATCAGTTGTGTTACGGAAGACAATCAACCTGTTCATACAGAACTGGAATCACTGCTGTACAACAGTGCACAACAAAGCTGTGGGGACGTCATGATTTACAATCTTGTAGAAGAAGCTAATGACTGGATAAAGAAACATGAATTTGCTGAGCAAACAACATCTTCTCAAGGAGAGGAGAAGTCATGTGAAGATGTCGCCACCATATGTAAATTCTTCTTGGAAGGGAAATGTAGATTTGGAAACAAGTGCTTTAATAAGCATGAAGAACCAACAAGTGTTAACAGTGACACAAGAGATGGCTCATTGCACTCACAAATATCTGGTGAAGAGACTGAAAAATTGTCAACTCAAGCTAATGAAAAGCCAAACGGAGCTTCAAATGCTGCTAAGAGCTTGGGAAACAGAAATGCTGAAACAAAGGGGGCTGAAGGCTCTAAAAAGAAACCTCCAATGAAAACGGCAAGCGACGTCATATCCAGAATTCAATGGGATGAAGAGCTGTCACCAAAGGACTTTGTTGTTGGTTATTTGGATCGCTTTATTGGAATCATGGAAAAATCTTTCACAGACTTTTCATGGGAGGACCTTGCTTCTGTCGACCATTTTGTGGACCTTGCAATCCCTAGACACAGAATTCAGTACTTCAAGTATCGAGGTGAAATAGTGTGGGACAAAAGGGAACGCATCGATAGAGTCTTTGGTTCTACAGGTAGCAAGGAGACCATTTTAGATGTGAAAAAGAGAACTGGTAACAAACAGGACTCTGACGAAGGGCAGTCTACAACTGAGACTGATGGTGCAAGTTGTGTTGCTTCTGAACTTCCCAAGCCTGTGAAGGAAAAGAATGGCCCAAACTATTTTATTGCTGTGCAGATTTCAGATGAAGGCATAATTGACAGCATCATTAAGGTAGGTGCATTTGTAGCATAAATTTAAAAAATTGGATTGTTACAGCTGTAAGAACTTTCATTTTGTATTGAACTTACATGTTTCAGATAAAGCTAACATTAATTCGTGTTTGAAAATCATGTTACCCATTAATGAACCTACAGTCCTGGACATAACTACTTGACACAAACAAACAAATAAACAAAAAACACTGAACAATTAAGAACGTGTATGCAGCGCTTCACCAAAGATTGACAGTAACTATACCACAGAGCTCTGAACTCTTCCTATTGATTTTTTTGAAACTTTACAAGACACTGTACATGTACATGTACATAGTGTTGAACTCATCAGAGAGATCTCAAATTGTACATTGGCAAAACCTATCCAATAATAGTCTAACTTGTTCCCAGTCTTTCCCATCTTGCCATACGTCTCCAATCTTTAGAGATGACTGGGGTTGAGTGAGGCTAAGTTATTTGTTAACATAATTATTAGCCTTACCTTAATTGTCTTTGTCTCCTGTGGGACATAAGGCAACAACAATCTCTGCCCATCTAGTCCATGTGAGTTTGCCTCACTAAGCTCAGCCATGACATTTCAGTGCCAAGCAGTTTTTGGCCAACCAGGGTTTCTTTTGCCAGGCGATGTTCAATGCAAGGCAACCTTAGTTTACAAGCCTGAGTCATTTTCAGTACATGGTTCAGTGATGGGATTCATGAACATTCTTAGGGTTGTTGTAAATTATAGAAAGCTGAGGATGACAAGGGCTGAATATTACCGAACAATGATAAACTAATACCATAGGAAATGCAATACATTCAGCACTCAAAACAAGTGCCATCCAGTTGTCCAGGACAAACAGGTTTTCCCACCGGGCAAGTAACTTTTCATTCTCACTTGCCAAATGGGCAAGGGATTAGGCAAGTCATCTGCCAACTAAATAAGAGAAAGGTAAACTACGAACTGCTGAGGGCAAGCTAGATTTGAGAGCTACTTGTCCGGAAGGTGAGCTGTAATTAAAGTCTGATACATGACTGCTGTGATAGCCACGCCCTAATGTTCATAACTTTGTCTTGGCAGATTCAAAATACCATCCAAGTTGAGCTTGGTCAAGAAGCAGAGTATGAGCTGATTCCAAAAGAACGTCTACACATAACCCTGCTGATGTTAACTTTACACACTGAAGATCATGTAGCCACTGCCAAGAGTATTCTCAAGTCAGTCCAACCCTTGTTGGTGTCCATTCTTCAACCCAGCCACAAACTGCATTTTAATGGCCTTGGGCAGTTCTACAACAGAATCTTGTATGCCAAAGTTGAAACTGATGCAGCTCTGTCAAAACTTGTCCAGGCTCTAAAATATAAGTTCAACAAAGCTGGGATAAGTTTAGAAGGAAACAGAGATGTGTTTGTGCCTCACCTGACCATCATGAGATGTGCGTCGAGGGATTTGTTAAGTATTGGACACGTGCAAGAAAGGTTGTCTGATTTGATGAAAGCTAACCATGACGTTGGAGAACAATGTGTAGAATCCCTAATTCTGGTCTCTAGGTTTCTCCCAAAAGACATTGATGGAACTCACCACAAGGTGTCGACAGTGGAAAACTCCTTGAAAGCGCTGTCTTCTACCCTGCCAAGAAAACTGTGCCAATATGTAGATCATTTGTTTGAAAGTGAGAAACTTTGCGAACAAGAAAGGAACGACATTCAAGCACTGTTTCAGTCTGGAGATGCTGCTGAGCTGGACAAAGGGCTATCAAGATTGGTGCAACTAAACAATCCATCTCAAGATAGAACGGTTCTGATAATGAGAGGCATTCCAGGAAGTGGAAAAACACATCTTGTCGAGAACTCAGTGGAAGCCACAGGCCGGAGTGGATACACATACTGCAGTGCCAGGCAGCTGTTTCACAAGACGGGTAATTTAGCCCCAGATCCCTCTGAACTGAATATTGCCGAGGCATACTGCCGCTCGTGTTTCCTGGACGCCATGACAAACTTATGCCCCTTTGTTGTTGTCGATGGCATTCACTCCAAGTGTTGGGAGTACGCTATCTACAAGTTTCTCGCTCGAGCATTTGGTTATGCCTGCCACGTGCTAGAGATTCGAGTGACACAGCCAGAAGACATCAAGTTATGTCAACAAAACGGCAGCTCTGGAACACAGCTGGAGCAGCTGCTTGAAGATGTTCAGGATTGGGAGGAAGATCCTGAAGCCACTGTGATAGAGCCCTGGTTCAGGAAACCAGACACATTGAAATACACTGAGTCAGTGTCCCTTGAACTACTTTTGGACGCTTCATGAATAGTTTCGAATTGGAAACTTTATATCTCATACGTGTTTTAAAATTCGTTGTGCATCACTCACACGTTTGACAATTTACAAATACGGCCACTTACACTCTTACAGTACAATAGAGCTACTTACACTACTTACAATGCTAGTACAGCTACTTACACCACTTACAATGCTCGTACAGCTACTTACACCACTTACAATGCTAGTACAGCTACTTACACCACTTACAACGCTAGTACAGCTACTTACACCACTTGAAAAATAGTACAGTAACCTGCTTAAATAAACTATGTATGCATGTATGTGTATGTACACTACTTCCTATTTTAAAACAGTTACCACTCCATTTACAATTCACAATACCACTACTTACAATACTGATACATTTACTTACACATTTATATCCCACACTTGATGTAAGAAAAACGAGTACAGTCGAACCTCTTCATACAGACACCTCTCTAATACAGACACCTCTCTAATACGGACACCTCTCTAATACGGACACCTCTCTAATACGGACACCTCTCTAATACGGACACCTCTCTAATACGGACACCTCTCTAATACGGACACCTCTCTAATACGGACAGTTTCCTATGTACCGAAAAAGTCTGATACATTTCTTCTACAAAAAACCTCTATAATACGGACCCTCTCTAAAATGGACAACGAACACTAAATCTCGGCCCTAGGGAGCAAATTCATACAAATGTAACCTCGTTATTACGGACACTCCGTGACCCAGGTGTCGATAATTTGCGGTATGTACCATTTCCTGTCCAAAATTCGTAAGTACAGCATGTAACTGAGAAGAACAATAAAGTTAATCAATTTTGATTCAGTCATTCACAAGACACCCACTTTTAGGCCTGATTGTGGTCACTAAACACTCCAAACCATCATAGTGACCTCTCGATACAGACACCGCTCTAATACGGACAGTTCACTCTGTCCCTTCCGTGTCCGTATTAGAGAGGTTCGACTGTATCCTAAAGCCACGATTAGACAGAAGCAGAAGTAAATCACCTCTTCGAGGTGATATGCTTCTGACAGAAGGCAACAATATCCATATGAAAATTCTATCCACCCTACAGCCCCACAACTTTTTCAAACATATCAAACATAAACATGTGAATGTCATCTGAGCTACACCTTCCTTGTTTCCTTGGAAGAAACTCGCCCAAATGCGACCTGTAAAAAGTTATTTATCTGAAACAGTTACAAAACGACCAATGTCATACCGTGACATCCCAAAGAATTACCTCTTATCCTTCAGTGAACTCCCCCCGCCCCCCTCCCCCACTCCTGCCTAGATGTAAGTCATCTTAGCCCCAGTACGTTTTGTTCACGTTGTAATTACAAGGACGCCTTTCTGTTAAGGCATCAAGAAAGAAAGAAAAGTAAATAAAAGAAAAGAAAGAAAAGAAAAGAATAAAATGTTCATTGAATAATGTGGTCATTGTATTTTTAAACATCGAAAGTCTTATCTTAAATAATTTTGAGACGAGTGCACATCTTCAATTACTGCCTTGATGACAGAAATCTTTTTCCCAGGGATATCCGCCGATTGAGATCAAGAATTATTTGACAAAAGTTTTCCTCACGGAAAAGGAAAACTGAAACATTTTCCTTGACAATTGTTTTGGCAGCTCAAGGATAGAAAACAAATTTGAGATGTAGTGGCCATGCTGTACATTGAGCAAACAAAACGCCATCACTATGGCAGGAAATGTCCTTAATTAGCCTCTAACAGGCGTTAAGTTAGTTGGGACGCAGCACAATAAACGGCGAGCGAAAAGAGGAGAGAGAGACTTGGTGCGCATGCGAGAATCGAAGTCCCAAGTAACTGAACGCCTGGAAGAGACCAGTTCTAAATCACAAACACAACCTGTTTACATCTTCGCATGCAGAATACTACTGTAGTGTTCTCGTCCCGAGAACCATTCGTTTTAAAAGAACCGAGCTCTGGAAGAAGAATGGCTCATTTGCAATGCCATACACTTCTTGCAGGGGTACGCTAAGAACGTGTTCCTTCTGCGTTTTCATCACCTGCATATCGAAAATATGCATTTGATGTAAAACAAGGAGCTTGGTTTCAAGCGCATGCGCTGATTATCTATAGCACAACTTTTAGCACAACATCAAGTCTCTTACCCAGAGCCCGCGTCCTCTTTGACCAGCGGTCGGGAAATTATCGATGGTCTGCGGGGACGCGGGCTTAGGGTAAAAGAGTTGTTTTGCACTCAATATATGCAGCTTTCCTCCCCAAAAATATGAAGTATGAGTTACATTATCTGATAACATAGAACCGATTTGGATCGTGATTGATTTCAGGAAAGATCATATTGATCCCCAAAGTATGGATAACCATATGCGTGGGGAAAAGTCACCTTTTTCCGTTCCATTAGTTACAAATTTTAAAAGGATTTTGCGGGATAATTCCAACGTTTTCCGTCTGGTGAAGTTTTGAGAGAATTATTGATAATCATAAATAATGAATGACATCCCTTCCTTAAAGTGCACCTAACCCCAAAATTTTTTTTTCGCTAAAACAAATCTAGACTTTATTTGAAGCATTTGGGCGAAGAAATTTTTGAATTTGGTTGA